TTTCAACGTTTTATACATATTTGCTCCTTCCACGGACGACAGAACGTTGATAATACAATTTCTAGATGCTGATGTTTATTTTACGTCTCTACCGAACGTCCTGCTTTGTATCCTGTTGGCCCGAATTCGAGTCTCACCCCCCGAACCCACTTGTCCTGAAGTTTACAGTGTTTTTTATAATGCCCACAAGTATAGGAACATACAGATTGTGATCTTCAGTATCACAATCGATACCTTCACCGTCAAGACCTCAAATCTCACACACTTTAAAACAGCACACGGTCGCTTCCTTCCGCATTCTTTCCAGTTCGTTTATAACAATAATCATACAACACTAAACGATGTTACATGCTCATGAAGCTGCCTTTGCCAAAAAACTGACTATATTACAGGTAGCCCTCGATTTGCGCCGATTCAGAATAACGCCGATTTTGAAACCAGCAAGTTTTTTTGAAAAAAAAATTACTATTATTTATAACGTTTTACAATGTTTCTCGTACTGATTCTTATACTAAATCGTAATTCTTACATCGATGATTTTGAATAAAAATTATAAATACAGTCATCTCTGCAATTACGTATGTTTCGTTAACGCGAATTGGCTCCAATGAGATCGATGAATCGGTAAAAGCTGTTTGTGAAATGCAAACTTTTGCATATGCGAGTTTGATCTTATGACGCCTTATTGTGAAATTGTGAAATTTTGAAAGAAAGAAGAAATCACAACAGTCCACACATGCCTTCTTTAAAAAAAACATGACGATCCTCAAACCAGGGACTTCGTCAGAGAACTAACGCCGCTTCACCAAGCCATCGCCGATTGTAAGTGTATAAAATATATTTTTTAAATTCCCTATATTTTATTAAGTTATTTCAGAGCTTTACTCTAATGCCATTATATTACTCATCAATGTTTGGGTGCTGGGAACGCATGTCACTGACTTCCAATTGATTTACATTATAAAATCGTTACAATTTACGCTGGTTCGTCCAGGAACACATCCTCGGCGTAAATCGAGGGCTACCGGTACAATATAAAATCAGTGCCAATAATTTTAATGCTAAGATCATTTTAGCAAGGGAAAGCAATCCTTCCATGGAACCTTTGATTAGTAAAGAACAACAAATTAAAAGAGGCCAGTATGTTTTTTTCCTACCAAAGATATTTATAAGACACTGAATTTGTAATGAGGACAAGGCCAACTTTGAGGATGTTGATGATGTACAAAGAAGACACAAATAGCAATTCCCACTGCATACAGAGTATTATGAGCAAGATACTGAAAGCAATCATTAACAAAAACAGGATTTCTTCATTAAAGGTAGCCAGCACTTAATATACCAAAGCTATTTGTACTACTGTGCATAATATCCTTGACAACAGAGTTTCCACAAGCAAAACTTTATTCTGTTAAGCCAATCCAAGCACAGCACTTCTCAGTGACTCAAAAAGAAACATAAAGCAAAAAGAGTGGAGTACACACATTTTCCACGTGCTTTATATATGATTTTACCTACTTCACTGCCTTTATATTAATTTAATGCAGATATGAATCTATTCTGCATAATTACAACTGCTGTTGGAAAATTTATCACACTACAGATACCACACAAAACGGTAAAAATTCTTCCTAATATTTCGTTAAATATTTACCATATAAGACATTTCAAATTACAGTTGTAGAACTTCATAGGCTCTATATCTTCTGCTTTTCATACAGTAAGATATTTTTAATAATGCTGAATGGAGGTATATTGGATCAAAAGAATCTAAAAACAAGCTGGGCCAAAATCGTTTAGACTTCCAAAATAAAATTTCAGTAGTTTCAGAGCCAGAACATGTAGTTAGATATATGCAATCTCTCTAATTTTGCATTAACTTTGTGAAAATACATAAAATTTCTACATACAAGAACATAAATTACTTTCAGAGCTTCAAACACAAATACAACCAGGCTACTCAGCTTCCTCAGGTAATTAATCCTTAAAAACATTAATAGCATCTACTGATTCTCTTCTACGGACAGTTCCATGTAAATCGCAACCCACCCACTAGCACACGACAGCTATGTTCTGCATTGTGACTATCTCATTTCATGTTAGTCTGTTCACTCCTGCTGCATCATGCTGTCATATATTCCATGTTAAGTGGGATGCACTGTACAATGGCAGTTATATATTATATGCACTGAAAGAAACTGCAATGTTATAGGCATATAAACCTACAGTAAGTAACAAAGACAAAATTATGTACCATAAACATAATTCAAGAATTATGTTTATGAAATATTTCTCATCAATGACGATGCTGATTTACAATAAGGACCAACAAGATATTGAGTCACTAAATTCCTGTCAATCATACTTTTTCACATTAACACACATTAACCAATCAACAGAGAAAAGGCCTAACCTGCATATAAAAAAAACAAGCACTTTCAGCGAGGCCTTACCTTTCAAGAAGTCCTCCCGAACCCCAAGGTCTGAAGAGCACCCTGCGAACTTCGTAATACGGTATTTCTGTAAAGAGGCCAAAAGCATTTTTTTCTGAAGTCTGCTGTTATGATAAAACATGAAAGGCAAATTAGGCTGAAAACGATGTTACATTTTTGGTTATGGGTATTCATCTTATCAGTTTACCATCAATACTACCGCAAACTCAATCAAAAGCATTCTACACAACCTCCCAATTCCACAAAAATGTATATGGCACAATAATGATTCCTTGGTAATTATGCAAGCAATGGCATGAATACTGCTGACAAAGCTCGTAAAACTAGATCAATTGCAAGGACCAAAATCGTCAATATCAAACATTGAAACAGGTTTCTTTACCTCACACATTCACATATCCATTGCATACGTTATTTCAGTACACATCCAATATACTGCAGTTTTCTGGAAACTTTACACAGAACAAAATTCTTCCTCCTGCAATCACTAACAACCACACGGAAACTTGTAATGGCACTACCTCGATTTCCTGTGTGAGGTGATAGGTCACGTGTTATGACAGCTGAAACGCAATATACGTACTTCCAGCGCCAAATTTAAACAAAAAACACAAAGGTTTTTGTCAAAAACTGTAGATAATAATGATCATGATAACAACTTTACTTTAAACATCCTCCAGTTTAATTGAACGCTGTATAGTTGCCCATTCCTCTGCTTCACCACTCACTGACTGTCCTATACAACATTTCCAGAACTTGCCCGCTACACATGCACCGTGAAAAAGGCCATTGCTATGTTTGCTAAAACGTTGATCGTGACACAACATTTAAAACAATACAGAACATAATTGGAGTATAAACAACATATGTTGTACATAAGCTACTACTAAGCAACCATCATACCAAGCATCACAAAATTTTGCTAAACTTGAAAGATTTTCAGCTTTTAAAACAGATAAGAATACAAAACACATTCATAAAACTTTAGACTACATAACATATTGTTATCTATATAGCTTCAATTGATTTGTATTACTAGTATTTAATAAATACATAACACTGAGAGGGTCATTATTTATTGGCTCTAGCCACATTTCAATTGAATGTAACAAGCCACTACAAACAAGACGTTCAGAATGAATTAATGCAGTCTCATCACTCCTGTCAGACTACTACACGGATGTGTCCTCACAAACCAGCTACACATACTTCCTATCATGCATCTTCATTTGATACTCACTCATTGTTAACAAAACATGCACAGTTGTAACTATAAATCACTATTACAATACAGATAACAAAAGAAAATTGTAACTACAAATCACCATTATTACACTACAGACAACAAAACATTCAAACTGTATCAACTGTCACCACTAAATTTGACAGCATGGATCATGCTATTGTATAGATAAGATACTTCTTCTTAGGAATCCTTCAGAACACATGCAGATGTGTGGTGTATACATACATTTCCTGCTCTAAAATCACCAATTCCTGACACTCTTCACAGATGATTTCAATATGCTTTAAACATATTTTAATATGAAATTTAATCAATTACTTTAACTATATTCTGCTGCACTTCAGGTGACAGACAGAAGTGCAAATACATTATTGATTAGTAAAATATTAGATACAGAATAATAATGGTTGCAGATATAGCTACTTCTGAATAGAAATACTTGTATTGCTAAGAATTTTTAGGTATACTTAGATTTCATATTATATTTCAGCACAAACCTTACTAAGTGGGGCATCCTGCCTTCAGAAGCAAAGTGAGTCTACATAGTGCCAAAAACCAGAATGTCAACACAAACTACATTTGTATGTTGCTTCAAACTTCCCTCTTTCATGCATTCAGCTTATTCTTTTTCTTCCATTCATCAGTATGATGTGCAAGAAAAGTGAAGATCCATTCAGTAGTATTGAAATGGACAGATTCTTAATCTATTTAACTTCAATATTTTAGTTGCAAAAGTTATTAGTGTTCAATGAAAATAAAATATGTGCATGAGTGGTAGGATTTGGAATCAGGTGGTCATAGGCTATTTGAAATATTATCCTGGCATTTACCAGAAGACACAGCAATATTAAAGTAAACACATCAGGACATCCATCAACTATTCAAGAATGATACAAGGTATGTCCCATATACAAATCCAAAGTATTAATACACCATTCTGTTTGGCTTCATCAATACATCCAGACTGGCTGTGGAGCCCAGTCAACCTCACATGCAATGGGTGAAGTGATAAGTTACCATGGTTTCATGTACATTGGCAATGGAAGGAAGAACATGGATTTGCCATTCAAGGTTTAGTAAGATATAAAGATGTTTGTCTCTGAAGATTTCCGTCTTCTGGGTTGTTGCGCTGTGTAGTCTGGTTGATGTTAACCAACGTTTCAGAGGTCATACTGCCTCCGTCACCCTGATGACGGAGGCAGTATGACCTCCGAAACGTTGGTTAACATCGACCAGACTACACAGCGCAACAACCCAGAAGACGGAAATCTTCATACTCACCGCTGTGAGAACCTCAAGTCTTACATGTTTGTCTCTGCCTTTAATAGTAATGCACTGGTTTACAATGATGTTCATATATCAACTCAGCCTCTTAACATTAATGAACAAAACTATTACAAATACTGTGAATATAAATCTTTTACATTCCATTCAACAAGTTTGTAAATAATCATTACCAATTACAATTAAAGACATAAAAACAACACTGAACAACAAGCTGACTACTGCTTAAAGAGTGAGAAGTACAGTAAAACCTCCATGGGATGAAATTTAGGGGAATTCTCTTATTTTATTTCCTTCAAAATCTTGTCTTGCAACCATTCAGGTCTAAAAATAGAATTGCAATTGCAGACCAAATTTAAAACAGCAGAAAAATGGAAACAACATGTCACTCATTATACAGAAAGAAAGATGTAGGAACTGCAGTACCATAACGATCTAAACGGAAGGATATTTTTCTCCACAATTAAATATCTAGCAAGAAAATTTACAGAGCTACCACAATGGTACTGCTGACGGTAGTTACAAAGCCCCTACATGAGTGGAAAGTCTTCAGTGGCATCCTGTACATACTTGAGTCACGAAACAACTGCAGTGTTTTTATCTGTAGATGAAAATGAGTGGCAAGACAACTCTGTAAAGTGTTCTGAAAACAGTTGTTTCAGAACTCTATACAAGTGATCCATTCAATAGTTTATGATTTTTGTAACTGGGTCTGGTAGAGCAGCTATTCACTGACCTGAGCAAACAACAGACAAAATGATTCCTTAATAAATTAATTCCTTGGCAGTGAATCTTTGTTGTTTCATTCATTCTGTTAACTTATGTTCCTCACAAGTTTCAAAAATCAGGCTTTCAATATAATGGCTCCCTCTATTGGCCAGTATAACACAAATTTATTTCTGTCGGGGGGGGGATTTCCTGAACATGTAGGTCTACATAAGGGAGTACTTAACGTCAGAACACACAGACTGTATGGAATGTATCACAGAAAGAGGGAGAGGAGAGGAGATAATGGCATTTGTGATTTTTTCTTCAGCCTTCTAAGGAAATGTAAACTGATCACATATTTTACAGTAGCAGGAAAAACCAAGATGCATGACCTTCAGAATCACATAATGCCTAATGTCACACTATCATAAAGAACCTGATGTTACTAGGAAAAGAATTTCATTAGAAAATCTGTCCACAAAACAATTAAAGGCACTGGTTAGGTAAAGGTTTTACTGTATATCGCAATATTCCAAATGATGATAAACATATCAGGAGGTTCTTAAAATCCTGCAGATACAATAAAAATTAAATAAAACATAATGTAAAAAACAAGCGGGTCGAGGAGGAAAAACTTTATAGAAAGCTAAGCATGTCCCCCAGTAACAGATTAATGACAGAAGTATGGCACTTGCACTTCTACTCGTTGCTTCTTGCGAGCCTCCATGCCAGAAAAGAATTCCCTGATATCTTCTTCACGCACTACCTTCTTGTTCTCCGCAAATTTCTGTAAGTATTCCTTCAGCTGGATCTTCATATTGTTGTACTCTGAAAACATTTTTACAGTCAGTTCAACGATCCTTTGTACTGCATAATATGATGAATTCATTGCTTTAGTTAATTTTTTACCTCTCTTCAAATACAAATAAATTATAACAGTATTGAATTGAAAATTATTCGTAAGTGAATGAAAAGCAGATAAATTTCGGGAAATGTGTTCACTTCCGATTTTAGAAACAGAAATTAATGTAAGTAGAAATGACAAAGTAGAACACAGCTGGTGAGAATATTTGGCAATAAGGAGGAGGAAATAACAAAAACCTGGAGAAAACTACATAATAAGGAGCTTCATGATTTGAACTCTTCCCCAGCTACAATTAGGGTGATAAAATCAAGCATGATCTGATGGGTGGGATAATTAGCACATATTAGAGCTAAAACACGCATATAAAATTTTAGTCAGACAAGCTGAGAAGAAAGAACACTTGGAACACCAAGGTATACATTGTAGAATAACATTAAGATGGATCTTAATGAAACTGGATGTGTTGATGCAGACTAGATTCATCTGGCTTAGGACAGGAACCACTGGTGGGCCCTTGCAAATGCAAAAATAAACCTCAAGTTTCATAGAAGGCAGGGAACATCTTGATTTGCTACACTGCTAGCCTCAAGGACTCTACTCCATGGAGTTAGTTCACTGAAGACACCAGGGGCAATTCAAATGTAAAATCATTTTCTGAAATTATGTTAGCAAAATACAGAATTTCTTTAGCAATCTAAAAGATAACAATTCTCACAAAAATACATGGATATCTGTTTAAAAATGTTCTTTCTTCTCTTTTGATTCAATTATTTACTGGAAACTGACAGTTGAAAGAACAGCACAGATTGAGAGGGTAACTTTATATTATACACTGATCAATAAATGCAATTTGTTACCTACAAAATATGTTGAAATGTTCATTTGCAAATTTTTTAAGAAAAAGTTTACTTAGAAGATAAGACCAGGTTCTAACTACACACATCATGTAAACCATTTTGCCACCATAACAAAACACACATTAATAATCCTACTCATCACCTGGGAGGAGCTGGGATAGCTCAGTCAGTATAGTGACTAGCTACGGGCTGGACGGCCGGGGTTCGATCCCCGAGAGGATTTTTCCTCCCGCCTCTGCGTCCAGACCGGCTCTGGCGCCCACCCAGCCTCCTCTCCAATGGGTACCACGGTCCTTTCCCGGCGGTAAAGCCAGCCGGGGCATGACGCTCACCCCCATCTAGTGCCGAAGTCAAGAATGAGTAGGAGCTATACCTCCACTCCCCCCAAGCGCCTACATGGCGTATAGTGGGACAGCTTTACTTTTACTCATCACCTGGGGGACTTGCAGTCATGCAAAAGCATGAAAGGTAACACCTAATGCCGAGAGTGGTGGCCTGTATTTAGATGCCATGTGGACTTGTATGTGTCCTTCAGTTTTGGAGGACCATATTGCTTCCATCGTGGCTGAAGATAAAGGTGCCATTTTGCTCTGAAATGTTGATATCCACGTAGAAGTTTATGCAGGGTCACAATCCAAACATTTTCACTACTATGAGAAATTCAAATCTTGTACATAACCCACCACTCCTCATAATTTCCTGAGTATCTCACCTTCAATAGCTTCCACCTGCTTGACTCTGTCGAGGGATGAAAGGGCCTTGAGTCCCTGCTCATAGCGAGACGATGGCTGTCCACCTTCACCACGTGCTTTCCCTTGTTCTTCATAAGCCTGCACTGTATCTTCTTCATCCATAAGAAAGCTCAAACTGTGGGTCTCATACATAGCCTGAGAATAATTATTCAAGAAATATACTGAACAAATTACACTGCTCGGCACACAACTCGCATAGCGATAGTTAGTTAAATATTAGAGGATTCAAACAAGAATGTCCTAATTGACACATCTTGAATGGTAATCAAACATAATGAATTACAACCTTAAAAGGATCCATAGGGAAGTTCTGAGGATGTGAACTGGGCCGAAATGACAAGAATATGTCCAATTGTGAAAGCAGGTATTTATGATGATGAATGTCCAATAGTTACAGCAATGACAAGGCATAAAAAATTAGTTATGTGATGATACATTACAACAGCAAGGAAAAGTTACTTTCTAAGGTACAATGAAAACGTAGGGGGGGGAAACATATAAAGGCAGAGAATTGGAATGTGCATACATACCTTACATGACTCACATCTACACAAACATTTTCTCCAGCCTTCTGAGAAGAAAACTGCTCCATGTTCAACATCTGGCTTCAGTCCCTTCAGCAAACATCCTGGAACAGTATAAGAACACTTGTTAATTACATCAATTCTGTTCCTCATACAATAATATCAGTATCATGTAGAATATACATTACCTCTCTCATCAGCTTTAATGGTGTTATTTTTGAAGTCATCAAGTGTGACCTCATTTAAATCCTTGACATCCTTCACTGTTCCACTGCATACTTCCATTTTCATTACGCAATCTTCAGTAGGCATTTCCTTTTTGTACTGCCACAAGAAAGTATGCTTATCCATACATGATCCACAAACCATCTCGCCATAATCATGAAGTGCAGGCACGTTGCTTCCCAAATGCTGAAATTAACATATGAAGAATATGAATGCCTCATCTGTAAAATTTGTAATTCTGCACTGTACCTTAAGACCACAATTCTGCTATGCAACAACTTCACATTAAGCCTACATTCATTATCTCATGCAGAACAACGAATGTTCATGTCTGTACCTTCTGGGCCATTGAAGAGATTTCTGTGAAACCTAATTTATGTCATGCTACTAGAGGCCTTCACGGTGGTCTAGTGGTCAGAACACTAGCCTTGTAAGCCTGGGGTCCCGGGTTCAATTCCCGGTGGTGCTCAAATTTATAACTTGTGTTGGGCAAGGCCGTGGTCTAGGCATCACGGAGTTTTCCTCCGGGGGCTTCCCCGGTTTCTCCGTGGCATCCCAACAATTACTCCACTCACACACAGAAGAAGGCAATGGCAAACCACTTCTGATCATCTCTGCCAAGAATGTATATATGTATGAGCAGGTCCCTGACAACCTGAAGAGGTTGGAAGGATCCTGTTCATAATATATGGACCTGTCGTCAGACAGAACACTACAAAAAAACTAGAGGCCATTACTAATACCAAAAATAGTGGCTATGCAAACTATTGAAGTGAAAGTGACAACAGCACTTTAACGTAGAATTCTGAAAATATTGGTAAAGATAACTTTTTATAAAATTCAAAACAACGAAGCGACTGAATAAAATTTGTATTTATGTCTTGGCTGATAGTGATAACAAATAAAACCACCAGTGCTAGAAATGTCATTTCATAGGGAACATTTCTTTTACATATGTAAACAATTACGAACATGACAAGTGTGCATCTTTTATGTTTTTCAAGCAAATTTAACACAGATGGAATATGTACCTTGTTCAAAATTATAGACACAAAGAAAACAAAGTCAACATAACAATTTAAAGGAGTCTGCATTCATCAGAACAACAAAACTGGTCACCACTCAATCAAGCCTAGACATGAGTTCCATGCAGCTCTACTACCAGAAAATAGGAAGTAACCACATGAGTAACACAAATTTGTAGCCAGACCTCTTTAGATTCAGCTGGCAGGAATGTGACACTCATCACAAACTCTCTTTCACTTACCTTATTTAAAGAAATACACTATGATATTTATTTTGTTTTGTTCAGAAAATTCTTCTTAATCAATAACATCATTGACAATGTAGCAGAACAATCCCATAAAAACCTCAGTTTCCCCCACAATTTACGTAACTGACCACTGCACATAAATATACATGTTCTATAATAACTTTTGGTTTCATATTAGTAGGAACTATCAAGACTCACCCTCCCATGGAACCAATCTTCACACAAGACGCACTGAATCATTTCATCATCAATCACATCTTCAGGATCAGGATATGGTCGCCCACAAGTGCAATATACTCCACTGAAGTTGTGGTTGTATGTGTTTAGCTCATTCACAGCACTCTTGTTCTGAAAAAAAGTTACATGGCTCCCGATAAACTAGGGTTCCAAAAACCATTTCAACAGTTCATATTATCAGTACAGGACTATGAAGTCTACGTGAAAGGTCTCCAATGTGGTGACCAGTTATATGCTTGCAGAGTTGTAACTCACTACCTAACAGGTGATTTTTGGTGGCACACCTGTACATTTTCTCATTAAATGTACACCACATCTTGCAGAACAAAGTTAAGCAGGTGGGAGTGGAGAATTCGTGGGACTGGAAGAGAAAGCTTGCAAAGCAGATTACAGTAACTGACTGGTTAGTTCAACAGTTTAATGTAACCCAACAGGTGACACACAAGGTATCTGCAACAAATTTAGTAAAAAGTGGCTGTGATAACTCATGTTCATCATGAAGAGGATCAACACATTAGACAATGTACCCTTGGATGAGTATGCACATACCTTAACATGTAAATAATAGTGGACTGAACTGCACATGTTTTGTAATTTGCAAACACTTGATTTCAAGGCATTCATTACACCCTACCATAGTTATTCAGTAAAACTAATTTTAGATTGCATGTGCACCAAGGAAGTAAAAGCAAGGATAGCCATGGCCAAGGCAGCTTTCGTCAAGAAGAGGATACTTCTCACTAGCAAGTTGGGCTTGGAGATGAAGAAGAAACTAGTGAAGTGTTACGTATGGAGCAGAGACTTGGACACTCAGGAAGAAGGAACAGAAATACCTGGAGAGTTTTGAAATGTGGTGTTGAGGACTGGGAAGAAGATTGATACAGCTAACCGACGACCTTAAACAAGGAAAGAAGATGACGTTCCAGGAATTAAAGCGAGAAGCCGAGAATAGGGACAACTGGAGAGCTCTTTTTGGGCAGAGCAATGGACCTGTCGTAAGACAGAACACTTAATAATAAAATAATAATAATAATAATCTTTGGATTACCCAAAACAAAAAAATCTCAAACTTTTTAAAAAAATCTGTGGTATTCTTACTAATTCAGAATCATGTAATCTATCAAATAAATGATGGCTGTACTATGGGTTCAAATTGATTGGCCTTACGCAAACTGTAAAACTGAGAATAAATCTAAACCCATGAGGCCTGAGACATGACAAACAACATGCCTCAAAATGTTGACAGGGGTTAGTGGAGGGGGAATGGGGAAGACACAAAGAAAGAAATAGAGCAATAAGAAAGATCCACATTAATTTTCCTACTTACTGGTTCAAGGTTACACTTGCTGTTTGCAAATCTACTATTTCCACAGTCGCATCTGAAATTTCTGAAAGGAAAGATTATTTCCAAGATTAAAATTACTTTTGCATTCATACCGCACAACATAAAATATATTCAACTATTAAGTAACTGAAGTATTATGTGGACAGTTTAGTCTTGTTGAATTGCACAGCTGAGAATGACAATATGAACATTATATGCCACAGACAGCATTGATTCCTGATTTTAGAGTGATATGTTAAGAACCTTAGCTTTTAATTGGCAGATATACACAATACTAGCACCAGCCACCCTTATTCAGATTTGTGCACGTACATCAGAAGTGCTACTACTTTGTTTTCAACAACTGTACTTAAACTGGGCCGTAAGAAAATTGGATGTAGGGATATGTATTAGATTCATCTGCCATAGGATAACATTCAGTGGCAGGCTCTTGAGAGCACAGAAATGATCTTATTAAGTTAACTAGTGACTACAGGTTTCTCAAAAGCACCATGGAGTTAGTCAAGCACACTTGTACTGTTTCTCAAACAAACCTTAACTCAATAACAATTTAGACCAGGTTAGGATAACCATCAAAAACAGAAATAATGAAAGGAGGAGAAGAGTCTGAACGGAAAGTTTGTCAAGTTGTATATTATGCTGCAGGTCTTCACTATCATGCCTTCTATGTCCCTGGTAGCACCAACTAGGCATGATCTCAGTATTCCTACTACTGATGAGAGTGAAGATGATTATGACTATCAGAGAAAACCTACAGGATAATGTGAGATTAAAACCAGAGTGACAGACTGATATTCTTTATATATACAAGGTTTTGACTTTATATGATTAAGGCAAGGAAAAAGCATATGACAAAATCTGCAATGACTCTGGAATCCAAGAAATTCTGCATGAAAAGCCAGTGCCTTAATGTGTAGGATTCAATTACCATAAATTCAAAAGATGGAACAAAAACACAGCAGATGCTGGAGTGTGCTAATGAGGATCAAATATATTGTAAAGCAGCTCTGGAAGAATTTAAACTCTTATATATTGCTAAAATTGTTTCAAAATGTCATAAAAAATGCTGAACATTTATATTGAATACCCTCCTCAACAATACAACTTTATTATTTACATAACCATTCTCTTTCCTACCTTCTTGGTTTTATTTGTTTTAGTACCCATTCTACTTGTACATTAGTTGTGTATATTTGTTTCTAAATTCATCAGTCTCCTAAAACATGTACATTTAAAATGTAATGTTAGTGTATTAAAATTATCCACATATTAAAAGCTCACCTCTTTGTGTACAATTCAATCAGTTCATGTCCCTCATGACAGTAGTAACTACATGCCAAACAAATGCCACCAGCTTTCAGACCATCATCAGACAAGGGTGTGCAGGTCATACATGCATATAGTGCTTGTCTTTTCACGTAACCCTAAAGGAAATCAACATTTTAAACAGATCAAATCAATATTATGTCTGGAGTATTTTGAAGGTCCTTAGGCTCAAAGTATCTACCAGAAGAATCAATGCATGATGATAAAATAAACATAAATAGTTTATAAATCTTCACTAACGCTAGCTACTTACATTCTATACATGATGCATTAAAATCCTGGCTCAATATAGAGCAAAATATACACTATTTAATAAACAAACTCCATGCGCATAATATGCCAACACAGCCATTTTCCAAACCAGATACTGAAATTTGGATATATATTTACCCGTGAATATGTACAATTCTGGTCATCTGATGCACCTAAAACAGCTTTTGCATCATCTTCTAAATCCTGCTCTTCCTTTAAGACGTCTATCATTGTAATAACATTAGTTTCTTCTTCAATACTTTCTTCTTTAGATGTGGAAGTCATGCCTGAGGTTGAGCTTTCCGCCATTTTTTACGTATTAGACACCAGCACTAATCTAGAAGGCGGGAAATGCCTGCCGAGTTATTAGCCAAAATAATACTGACTTAATAAAGCTATATAAAGTGTCATTCTTTGTAATTTAGTGTGATGTAAATGTATATACGTCTTATATTATTAGGATATATTCTATTTGACAACTTACATCTTCAAACTACTGTTGGCATAGATTAATACCAACATCGACTGTACAGACGTTACCAACTGTAGGAATAGAATATAATTCTATTCTTGGCCTAAGCCAAGTATGTAGAACAGGTCATAGCACAAATACAATACTTGTTTCTAGTACAAATATAAATACATATTTATAATAGCTATTTACATATTTTTTTGGAACTACAGTATTACAACAAAATAATTATGATGAGAAACCATCACTATTGTTACATGTATTTATAAAGTCTGCTACTGAGTAGGGGTGAGATAGGAGATACTTTTAACACTGTTTTAAACATTTTTATATCGTGATTTAAACTTTTGATAGTAGGTGGAAGATAATTGAATAACTTAATTCCAGTATAGTAAACTCCTTTTTGAAGATTTCTGTCTTCTAGGTTGTTGCGCTGTGTAGTCTGGTCGATGTTAGGGCGCCCTGATGACGGAGGCAGTATGACCTCTGAAACGTTGGTTAACATCGACCAGAATACACAGCGCAACAACCCAGAAGACAGAAATCTTCATACTCACCGTTGTGAAAACCTCAAATCTTACATAAACTCCTTTTTGGCGTAAATACATCTATACGGAAGGGTCATTCCGCAAAAAAGTGTAACGAAAAAGTGACAGGAAAATGTGTAAGATCCGATAACAATGGTTACCTAGGGAACGTCGTGTTTACTCAGCATTGTTGTTACCTAGGAAATGTTACATTACAATACAATACTTTACATTACATTTATTTAGCACAGACCCATCTTAAGCGTAACTAATTCAAGTTAAATAAGCAATGTCTTAATCAAAACTTTACGCAGTTGTAAAGCATGTATAAAGGAAATATTTAGTATAAAGCCAATATATAAACTTCCTTTCCGTATAGACGTATTTACGTCAAATTATCCGGAACCGTGGTTCCACTGTCAATTTTTGATATTTACTTTGGTTAAAATTTAGCACATAAAGGTTGTATCTGTATCTCCTCATTATATTGTGGATATCTGTATTTGTTTGAAATGTTCCCATGTTATCCACTACAAATGATAATAGTGAGAGCAAGAATTCACTGGTAGTTGAAGAATATTAAACTTCTTAAATAATTCCCTACAAGAGGCTTTGAAATTACTTCACTGGTCAGGACAATTCCCAAAGATGGTGCTCATCTCCATGTAACGCTGGTAGATAGTGAAGGAAACACAGTGGCTGGACATGTTGTGGATGATCTTATTGTTCAGACAACTGCTAAAATAGTCTTAGGAGAATCCGTGATTCAAGAGAGAGTTTGATGAAGCAACAGGCTGGGCACAATTAGTCATCTTTAAAAATGAAATGGTTATAAGCTAACTTAATGGCACAGTCTACAGCTGTTTCATCCATACTTTTAGCCCCAAATATATTAATTTCTAATGCATCAATTTTTTATGAGTATTTTACTTGAACATGGTTCTGTATGGATTAAAAGGATATAAAATATTTTGTTAGCAGTCTTCTCTTCTAATAAAAGGAAAAGGTGCCTTATCTGCTGGGACTTCATAAACTTGATCCATAACAGTAACTATTAAGTATACACTTCTTTCTTGTTAAGGCCATGAACATTTTTCAAAGAAAATGTGAATTACTGTTGTAAATTAATTCCATACTATGCTACTTCAGAATAATTTTCTAGCTGCTTAACGTTTGGAACATAATTTCCGTAGTCTGGTAATTCCTACACATGTACAGACCATACAAACTTCACCTTAAGTGTTACAAAAACAACACACCTTAATGAAGAAGAAATTATCATCTGAATGGAAGTACATGAATACACCCATACTCTTGTCAAGATTCCTCACATGATAATCTGAAAGATAAATTTGATGGCAGAAAATGTAATTTAAAGAACATGTTTATTTTGTGGTGCATAATATACATTGGGAAATTAACAATAACATACTGAAGGACACACAAATTGCGGGAGGATAAAACCTGACACAGCATTCTAATACAACAAGGCCAAAGAATGTTACCCACAGTATTGAGTTTTAAAAAGTTGAGTGGGGTGTAAACATAACAATGGCCTTAGCAGCCATAGTGTAGTCGTGCATCACGTGTCTTGGGCTTCATGCTGTCATCTGGGCATCTTTGACCACTTGCTGGGTGTTCATATTCATATACACACACACACATACACATGCATAATGTATTCTCAATTCTGGAACTGTGCATGTTTGCATATGTGTGTGGCATTTTCAGGGCTGGTGTGAGCCTTCACCCTCAGGTGATTAAACATTCCACAGCCCCTAATCCTTATGATATGCAAACAGGGAATTGAAACCCCCATACTTTGGGGCTGATGTCTGGACTTTCACTATGAAGTAACAGTTCAGTGTCCCACTACAATAATGCACAGCCAGCAGACATGAGTATGCCATGACACATGGACTATAAAACTTAAAGTGGTCTAACTTTCTCAAAACTTTGTTACTATCAGAAACACTAAATTCACAGGAACTGTGATGAAAACAGCAACTGGTGTCAATTCCTTTTGTGACTGAAAGGAATTAATAAATGTACAGCATTAGCAATTGAAAGCTTTAAGTGGAATTAAAAGAACATAGCATGTTTTTACAATTGCCAATTAATGGTCACAATACAGATTGTGTTTGATGTCAAGGAATAAAATCCCTGAATACTTGGATATTTCAAATTCACCTCACCATTCTTCATACATACTGAATACTGGTAATGCTAATTAGACACTCATTCTGAAAAGGAGGGGCACATATAGGTTCAGACTTGTCTGACTTTTCGAAGGACAACTCGCTCTTCTTTCTTCTGTCCAGTACTGTGAGGAATGATATCCCTATATTGATTCTGATGGGTTCTGATGATGGTATACAGTCTGAATTGTTGGATTTTTGGACCCTGTCCATCATCTGTCATTTTATATCAGACAATGTACAAGGTCCAAAAACCCAACAATTCAGATCCCTATATTGGCAACACAAAATCTCTTCTCATTATGCATTACCTCACTGAAACTGTTGAATAGATTAATCTCTAAACACAACTGCTGGAGGCAGAAAGCACCTCTGAAACGTCGGTCAACTACATGGCGTAATACTGTTGCCGTGTCAACTTCAATTTCACACAACTAATTAGGCAACATCAGCCACACCGGTAATTTCCATAAAAAGAAATTTAAAAGATGACAGGAACTGTCTTAAAGAATACTATAAATGGAAAGGCATAAAATGTTTGGTTCGATTACAAAATACGAAAAACAAACACACTTTGACTCACATACTAATGACTTCAAAAGTTTTCTGTACTTTAACTTCAAAATGCAAGTTACGTACAAATAACATTAAGCTTTGCCGCACCCTACATATCGGATATAAGGAGCACATTTCTAATGAGATGTCGCATAATCAGAAGTAAGTGGTGATTATCAGCCCAGATTAAAACACCTCTTTTGCACCTGACATTTATGGCCACCATTAATCTTCTGAATAGAACAGAAAAAAATTTCATCCAACAACCAAAACGCTGTCTACACTCCGATTGTCAGTTATTGTCACAGATAACTAATACTGCATGTTTGTGAAAGCACGGATTAACATATACAGATTAATACCAACAGTGGTAAGGAATAATCATGGGAATAATAGCTGGGAACAAAAAATGGTGGTAGCCAGAAGGGTATGAGTGGAATTGCTATTGAATATTCACTGTCAGTGAGTCTCAGGGTTATTGGATGCACGAAGAACAGTATAAATAACCAGAATAATTGATTTTTAGATTTATTCATACCACATTAAAGAGTATAAATGCTAAGAAATTAGTACTTACAAACCCGTTACTAAAATAAACTTAATTTTGAGGTTAGCCTGAGGTTATGTTCTGGTTGTGTATGTAATTATTTTAACCATTCGTTCTATATCATGAACAATACGGAATTTAATGTTATTTTTTCAGACTTGTGTGATTAGACAACATTGACTGGAACCATGGGGGATGAGACACAAGTTTCCAGCACAAAGTTTGATCCAGGTATGTGAAATATTTTGTTTTTGCAGTGATACATAAATTTTATATAAAACAGTTTTCAGTTAATATGTATCATGAAGTCGTTGTTACCATATTATAACACTTCTGGCTTATTTTATGATAAAAGGAAAATAATTTTATGGCTAACTACACTATAATTGATAGTATAAAAATAAAACAGTCCCTTAACATTTTGACAACTGTTTTGCACCAAGTTCCTTATTTATAAATCAAAATATGGTTAGTTTAACACTGAATTTGAATATATGGAAAATTGTAACATTAAATTTGCAAAGGTTTTAAGTGAACCATGGTTAACTGTTAATTTTGACAATACAGGAAATCCAAATATATTCTATCATAATTTCATACGTGGATGGTATGACTCTACAATTTCCAGATGAGCTCAACTTACACATTTGAGAATCTTTATATCACTGTTCATATAGTGTCAGTAAAATGTTTGGTTAGGTTAGTCCTGATTAATTGGGATTCTTTACAGTAGTATTAGCACATTGAGTTTGATTATTAGGTATCGGATTTGACAGTATGTTTCCAGATTGAGATTTGTAATTTTAACTCATTCCATCACCAGGAGTAGAAAGATGTATGAATGTTAGGGCTGTGGCTAATGCATTTGTGTCCTGACTCATAAGGAAAACCTGTCTGAATAACCATTCACTGTCATTTTCCAGAAAACTCCTGAAGTGCTAACTTATTTTCTTAAATGTCTGATTTTTTGTTGATAGGTGTGAATCAGGATGAACTTATCATGCAGCAGCAGCGACAGATAGAAAAGGAGGTACAGTAAAGTTTCTCATACTTTTTATGTAATCATTATGAAGAAGTACTGCTGTGTGGAGTTCTCACATTTTCGAAATGTGTACTTCGACGGCTTGCCGATAGTGATGATATAACAGTTTATGGAATCTTAACATTTCTCTTTGTATTTCATATGCACCAGATTAAAATAAAATGTTTCAGATGAACGTTTCTTGTCATATCGTGCACCTTTTTCTAATGTTGAGCTGTTTTTGAGAAACACAATAGCATTCAGTGTAAGTTGTTGTATTAGAGGCATTATACTGGACTGGTGAACAGTTTTGGAGATGAAATATGGGGATAGAGAAATTAAGGATCTTCCAAATATTCATTTGTTTAATGCATGTTATACAGAGAACATAAATATCAAATCAAAATTTATGCATAGATGATCATCTTATTGTGATTTGTTTTGCTGTAGATTTCTGAGACAACTGCATTAGTTGGTGATATGGAAGGATTTGGAACGCTTGAAGATGAGTATGCTGGGGATGATATCTATTGCCAGAAGGTACATGATTTGGCAGGAAAGTACAAGAGCATGCGCCGCACCAGACCAGATGGCAATTGCTTCTTCCGTGCATTTAGTTATGCTTACTTGGAACAACTTCTTGATAATCGTGAAGAATATGACAGGTGTGAATGCATATTTGATACATGCAGCTGATTCATTTCTGTACATAAGAGAGAGACGGTTATTGAAGTATAATTTTAATCCTTCTTCATTTTTTATAATTCTTTTACTTCCTTCTTAAAAGAATGTATTTTTAAGATAAAAACCTAAACTCACTATAAGAGCTAGATTGTTATGTATGTGCAGGAATAGTAACTCACCAATTGAATACTCAAGTTCATATCCCATTGGAAGTTGTAGGTAGTCTCTGCCAGTCATTATGTTCATTGCCATCATATCATAGGGCAGTGATGTGCAACCGGTGTTCTACGGCACACCAGTGTGCCATGGAGCCCATCTAGGTGTGCCATGAAATTTTCCCCTCATATTATAATTGTTAATCTTGTTTGCTGCTCTGTCTCAGTTTTCATTTTCTTTATTATGATTGGGTAGACTGAGGACAGACAAGATCTACTAAATTGAATTAGAAAACAACACAACCACTTTGCAGCAAAACATATGTACCTTTTCTATTGCCACTGTATGTATTTTTCTGCTATCTTTATTATTATTATTATTATTCAGTGTTCTGTCTTACGACAGGTCCATTGCTCTGCCCAAAAAGAGCTCTCCAGTTGTCCCTATTCTCGGCTTCTCGCTTTAATTCCTGGAACGTCATCTTCTTTCCTTGTTTAAGGTCGTCGGTTAGCTGTATCAGTCTTCTTCCCAGTCCTCGCTTTCCTTCAACCTGGCCTTCGGTGATATCACTCAGTAATCCATTCCTTCTCATAATATGTCCCAGCCAGTTAGCTTTCCTTCGTGTAATCGCCTGCAGAATGTTTCTTTGCTTCTGCTATCTACATGTACAAATATAAATAAGTATCTTTAAGTTTAAATGTTTAGACATAATTAATAAATTTTGGGTAAGACTGTAGGAAATATTGTATTTTAATTTATTTCAAATAATATATTTAAAATAAATGATACAATAATAAAGATGGATAATTATAAACATGAAATAGAACATTTTTCGGTTGGGGTCGATTTATAAACCATCTACTCCCCCCCCCACGATATGTAAAATGTGGTTGGTGTGCCGCCATGACTATTTGAGAATATTTAATGTGCCGCAAGTATAGAAAGGTTGCACAACACTGTCATAGGGGGTAAAACAGAAATCTCATTCTGTGAATGATTTCATGAAAAATGCAGATTCCTTGGCAAGCAAACTGAGGCCAGGATGCTTAAAGTCCACTTCTGGAAGCACAAGTAACTACAGTGCATTTTTAAAATCATCCCTCCTTATTATACCTTATTCACCACTATTAATATTAACATGTTAATCATGGAATTCAAAGTTAGCAAAGACTTCATGTCAGTAGGTAGACCCACATATTTCTTACTCGACCATTGCTACAGCGTGGTTAATGTTGGTGGCTCATAGCCAGTCATTTTACTTGCTAACCTAAAATGCAGAAGATACTGCAGTGATTTTAAATGACATAACTCTGCACCCAGCAGAAATGACAGATTTGTATACTGGTGGGAAAAGAGAAAAAGCGAGAGATTGTGAGAAAGCACTGAAAAGAAATGTATTTCAAGTTAACAATACAGATCATAACTTTCAGTCTTCAGGGTAATTTTTGGTGTGTAAGAACTTTTCTTTCTTCTGTTTTGTGATTAGGTTCCATGATTTGGCGACCAAGAGCAAAGACAACTTGGTGGCACTAGGATTTCCACAGTTCACTGTTGAGGACTTCCATGACACTGTACGTATAAAGTTTAAATTTAATATTTATGTTCAGTAAATTCCTTTCGATTCTAATGCTGGGGAAAGAGAAGTTTGAAGATTGTAAGCAGGAAAGTGGAAATCTGTCCTACCTGCTCATCTAACAGTTATTCAGAGGAGGAAACAGTTAACAGTGGAGGTGATGTTTATCCATTCATGTGTTTCATCTTGCAAGCACTTTCACATTTTTATGAAATCTGGTATTAGGAAGTGGAATCTATGCTAAAGGATTTCAGATAAATTACCTTTTTTAGTCTTTCTGTCAACATTATATTTGCAATAAATCAGCACAAGACCAGTGAGGGATTCAAAGTCTGGAAAATTCATCTGAAAACTGTATACCAAATTGTTAATTTTATACATAATAAGCCTGTGATTGAATTGTACTCTTTCATCTAATCTAGTAACCAGCTGATTGTGCTCCATGCAGTTGTTTACTACATCAGCTTTACCACACAAATGTCTGATTTCATTATTATTAATCATGATGATGATGATGTTGATGGTGCATGCGTTGGGGACATTGGATTGTTCCAGTTTATGGAAGTTGTGGATCATGTGGGACAGGGACCTAGTTCTTTCTCACAGCTGGACCTACACAAGCTGTTCAACGAACAGGGTTACTCCGATTACGTTGTTGTGTACCTGCGCCTCATAACATCTGGGCAACTTCAGCGGGACTCTGATTTCTACCAACATTTTATTGAAGGAGATCGTTCTGTTGCTGACTTCTGTCATCAGGTGAGTCTGAAAATACTTTGCCTAATGATACTTCTAGCCCTCTGTTTCAAAGTACACCTTAATTTATCTGATTGTGTAAAAAGCTGCATAAAGACTGTACTTTTTAATGATTATTATGAAGACATATAAACGACTAACAGTTTTGAATTTGTGAACTAGACTCAGCTTGCACAATCTAGTGATGGGATTCTGTGAATACGAGGTGCGATCAGAAAGTTTCCAGACTGCTCCTATGAAAACCCGTACACTTATCTCAGGTATTAAATTCATCCATCACCCTCGAAGTAGTTCCCCTGGGAGTGAACACAACAATCCCAGCGCCGCTGCCAAGCCTGGAAGCATCCCTGGAAATCTTTCTTTGTCAGCCTGTCAAGCACCATCTGCGATTCTGCCTGAATCTCTTCTATCGTCTCAAATCTCATTCCCTTTAGCTGAATTTTCATCTTTGGGAAGAAGAAGAAGTCACACGG